AAGTGAGGGCATGTAAAACAAATGGTATTCAAGATTAAGTTCATCATAAACTTGATATTAAATAATTTATAATGTAGAACCTTTGGAAACATCCTGTTCTTTTGTTCACTGAAAAAAAACCTTTTTTAAACCATATAAACCATTCTACTGATTGATTTTGGTATCAACTAGTGATAACAACTCCAATTATTGTACCTTGCAAATTATTGGAAAAAAATATTAATATGTTTTGATTTTCAGTTAGCAAATACTGAAGAATTTATTGATGGAGCACTAGCAGGAAACCTTGGTGAAGTACTTATCAGGTACGTTCAAGACAGCATTGATTATGTTAAAGAGCATATGACAAGAAAACAGTTTTTTGTCAGTCAAGAGTATTTTTCAAAAACTCTAAATTTCAAATTTGAGAGAATTCTGAAAAAAAATTGCTAAGTTACAATGATCCTCCGAATTTTCACTTCAAATTTCGTCCTCTCCGCCGCGCAGCCAAACTCTTGTCACATGACCCTTGTGATGTCATTTTGTTGGCTCAGACACCAAGATAATGAATAACGTAAGAACTAAAACAAGAAAAAAATGAAATGTAAACAAATACATAGAGCAGAAGGTTGCAGAAACATCAAGAAATGGACAAATACTAGCTAAACCTCTGGTATTACAGACCTGAAAATAAGAACCTTATTTTTTGAAAGTCTGGTCAAAAAGGTTCTTGTTTTAAGGGGTAGTTGCTAGTAATTTTGGCAAAGCAGGTTCTACAGTACCGGCTGGAATCACATGTACCTTGTTCGAGAAATTTACGCGAGCAGTTCGCAAATCGCGAACATGTTTTGTTCGCACTTTGATCGCGAAATGTTCTCACCTCGTTCGCAAACTGTTCTCACCTCGTTCACGAACTGTTTGCGAACTGCTAGCAAAGAGAAGTGCTCGCGAACAAAATATTCAAACACAAGCAAGCAGTAAATGCATGGATTTAAGGCAAGAGTATCCATTTGTCAAACATGGGTTCGAGTTTAAGTTCGATTAGCAACGAAACCTGTTGCAAAGTCAAGTTTTCAAAAGTAACCTTACCATTCGATTGCAAATGAAAAGTAAAAAGACTACAAAACACTATGCAATCGCTAAAACAGTCGTTTATTGAGTCCTTTATTGGATATATTGAGATTTATAAATTTTTTGATATATAACGCGCGTTCTGATTGGCTGACGAACATGTTTATATCAGAGGACAGAGACACGGCTTACCGGCAAAATTTTCTTTTCACTCGAAAAATTTTATAAAAGAAATATAAAACGGACGCTTGTGTCTCTGTCCTCTGATATAAACACGGTGGGAGTTGAAAAACACTCGAGAAGCAAGAGAAACACTCGCTAYGCTYGTGTTCCTAAGCTTGCTTCTCTTGTGTTTTTCAAACTCCCACCGTGTTTATATCAGAGGACAGAGACATGCGCGCCGTTTTATATTTCTTAAATATAGATTGTAAACATGTGAAATATTTCTATTTGGCCGGCTAGATCGATACAGCGTGCAGTTACAATTAGTACGCGAAAGCGACAGCTACAGTTAGTATGTCAATAGTGCCGCGTGGAGCACTCTAAAGGGGTTCATTTCTCGTACTTTTGGTCATTTTGAAATATTGCCAAATGACATGTTTAGTAGAACGGCAATTTATTTTGATTTAAACATAAACTAGACGCCCCTGGGGTGTGAAGTCGGACTAGCTATTTTTGAAAATTGATAGACACGAGTGAAAAGATTATGATGTTATATTCTGTCTAATCATATGATTATATTATGAATATAAATGAACCTTGAGAAAGACAGGAGGATATTACATAAAATATAAAAATTAGATTAAAATATATATTTCTTAATTTTTCTCCAAAAAAGCTGAACTCATGGTCTAATAAGAGCGTCTAGTTCAAAATATCCTGGAAACTCTCTTGAGACTAAAATAAACTTGACCTGAAATGTCATGTAATTAATACATCAATGAACGTTTTTAATGAGTCCTTGCTTTGACTGATAAAATCAAACATGGTATGTTTCTTCTTTCTTTAGGCCGAAAGCTCGGTATTAAAAATATCACTAGTAAACGCAGAGGACTCATTTATTTTTAGAAATTATGCCTGCGTACAAATAAATTCTAAACATGTTTCTTCTTGTTCTAATTTGAAATTTTTGCCCACACAAGACTGCCTAACGCTAGAAATAGAAAGGCCATTGATTTAGTTTCGTAAGTATATTACTCGAAGCACCAAGCGATCTGCACATGCGCGTACTTATGATGCCTAGACTGATGCATTCCCATGAGATCACAGATACCACATTTGTAAACGAATACTTTTTTTGTCATATAAAAGCCAAGTAGCATATAACATTTACTAACGATATTCGTACATCTATAGGATTGAGATCGATTGAGCTTCTGGTAAGGTAATAACACAGCTAATCCAATAGTTAATATTATTAAATTCTTAACTTCCGGTGGTCCAAACGCGACATGATAGATAGATAGATTGACTAAAAGGTAAAACTTAGTCGACCTAGCCTTCGGCTAGTCCGACTAATAAGTATGAGAATAACCACGACTTTGATGTACTTGGTGTCTTCGAAAGACATATTTGTATGCCGTTACCATGTGACAACACAACTTAGACATTCCAACAAGTCTCGAGATTGAGTGCTAAAAAATACACTCTTTAGCTTATGGACAATAACTTAAGACTAAAAATAAACTAATGGACATTAGAGTCTAACTTTGATTTATATTGTGTCTCTGAAAAGACGGTCTAGGTCCTGTATTGCTTCAAAGCAATTAAAGAGCGATAGCCGGTATAGAATAGAATAGAATAGAATAGAAGCTTGATTTATGTACATGGTAGCAAAAAATTGCTAAATTGCGTACAATACTAACTAAAAAATATGTGATAATAATAATAATAATGACAATAATAAAACTATAATATACATTAACTAATTGATTAAAAGACTACTATATACAATGTAAGAATTAGACTAATTAGAATAAAAGGACTATNAATGCGAGCAAAGTGAGAACAAGTCGCGAGCAACTTGCGACCAGTTCGCAAACAAAGCGCGAACAATGATTGCAAACTGTTCGCGATCTGTTCGAGAACAAAGGTACATGTGATGCCAGGCGGTACTGTAGGTTCTTAATTTCTAATAGAGAGATACAGTTGTTATTGTTTTGCATATATATCATAATTAGAATAATTGCCAACGAGCCAGCCAAGCGAAGACGCGAGGCTGGCGAGGCGGCAGCATCATAGAGCCGATG